CTTGCTTGTCAGCCACCTAAAAGGGCAAGAAAGGCAAGGATGGGGTCAATCAGAGAAGGCCTCTGGAGAGATTTACAGCTCATGTAGAGATTATATTGCCTACATATGTATTCGTATTAGCTTTGTTGTTTTATGAAAATGTAACTTTTTATATATAATTTCTGTGGGTTTCAGTGGGGAAAAAAAATCTGTTGTTGACAAGACAACGAAATCATGGTGTTCTGGTCACACGAGACACTAGAAATATTCTCTTCAACATCCAGATGACCTTGTGGATCACCCTGAATGTAAACAGACGGATCTGAAAGCGTGTCTGTATTTGAACGGTGGCAGATGGAGCTGGTGTGGAACAGGAGTGATGTGCTCTGGTGATACGATCATCTGAGGACGGAGGCAATTAATGTGATGTAGATGAAAATTTGCCAACAGGCTGATGTTATTAACAGGAGAGGGGGAAAGATAGACAGACTATGCAGCTGTCAATGGAGAGAGGAAAACTGTCTATGTTGGATAATGAGGATTTTCTTCCCCTTGGAAGGAGCTCAGCTTTTTCATTAATAATTTCATGAAGTTAGAAGGGAACTTTTATTTCATTATCTTACAGCCTATTTTATTTTAAACAAACAGGTAAAGGAAGAATGTAGAACTGAGTTTATGGGAAAAGCATAGCTGTGTCTCCTTCCTGTAGCAATGGAGTTTGCGTAGGTTGTTTTTGTGTTTTCTTTTTCCACCACTAGATGGTGCCCTGTCCTCATTTGGGCCTCCTCGCAAACCTGCGGCTCGTTGGGTCATCACCAGAGGAGTATTTGAGCAGTGGGCTGTCACTACCTCAACGCCAGAGTGTTTGCCAGTATTGGGTACTCTAGCCAAAGTGAGATTAGCTGAGTCTAACCTTTAGCCTTGTCTTTCTGAGTCTAAGCTTGCTTTGTCTTTGTTCTCCGGCAGGAAGCCTTCCTGATCCACTGGTTAAGCCTGGACCTTCTACCCCCCTGGAAGGATAAACTGAGTCAGAATTGAGCTAGAGGAAACCTCCACTTGATCCGCTCAAGTCCTCTTCAGGAAAACCCGGCAGAGATGGCAAAAGTACTCACTTTCCGTACTTGCGTAAAAGTACAGATACTTGTGTTAAACAATACTCTGGTAAAAGTGGAAGTACTGATTAAACGTCTTTACTCTACACTGAAAGTAAATTATCTTTTAAGAAGAATCTGAGACTCCATTTGATGCCCTGAAGTGTTTTTGTTTTATTGACTGTTTTATTATATTTGTTATTGTTTTATTGGCTGTTTTATTTTACTTGTTCTTTTGTACTTCC